AAGGAAGGAAGGAAGGAAGGAAGGAAGGAAGGAAGGAAGGAAGGAAGCTGATGAACCCAGCAAACCCCAAACCATCCCAACAACATCTAAAATCCAGCAATGGGATCACTAACAACTGTAGCCTAAAGCCTGGAAGAATAGCAGATATTTGTGGCCCTTCAAAATGCCAACAGGGTGGGAGCCATCCAGACAGAGTGACCAAAGAGGCACATTTCTTAGGTTTTGATAGAAGACATTGTTGGCTGGGAAGGTATCATGGCAGTTTTTAATCTTACTAAGCTGCCCAGAGTGATTGGTATGTGGTCAGTCCCAAAAATGTAAATTTAAAGTAAAATAAATATCCCTGAACTGTTCTGAAATAGCCAACTCTTTGGGACTTTCCTAAATTACAGCAAGGGTGTTGCCAATGCAATCTCTGATGGAGCACTGATCCTAAAGAAAGGAATCGTGTTTTACAAGGAAATGTGTGTACCTGAGAGAGAGTAGTGGTAGGCAGAAAAGGAAAGAAGGAAAGGAGGGAGGGTGGGTTTTCTAGAGATCCCCAAGAAAGCCAATTCATAAAAAATATTGTCTGAAAATTCTGTTTTTTTCCCTCCTGCTCCTGAGAGTATTCCTGCAGCTGCCTGTAGGCAAAATTTTATTCTGGTCATATCTGAAGGCCAAAAGCTCCCAACAAGAGGAAAGTTTGCCTCTCTTTAACTATGTTAGTCTACAATACTGTCAAAAATTTTGTTTGCATCCCAAGTGACTGCGCTGAACTCCCTAGCAGAATTTCCTTTTAATTATTAATATGTTGCCAATGAGATGCTTTTCAGCACGGTTCATTGCTAAGGGCTGGCATAAATAAGGACCCTCAAGTTTTGCCACCAGCAAACCATTTTCAGTGAGGAAAAAGATTAGGAGCTTTATAAGTAGCAATAAAGTTTCCCAAATATTTGTATTCCAGAGTAGTTGAATGGCATGTATATTTAATAAATTATTATTATTATTCACAACACTTTGAAGTCATACCTGCCAGCTCTTTAGCACGTATGTCCTTAAGTTCTTCCCCAAAACCTAAGATGTCAATCATGTATATGTGTGCAAATCCAAGCAGTGTGGCCTTTTGCGTTTGACAAATGGAAATTTTGTTAAATTTTTATTGTGGTTTCTTCACACAGTCAGCCAGATGTTAGATTGGGTTTTGGCATTTTTATCCGTATATGGAGATGTAGAAATAAAGAACTGTAATCTTTAAGAAACATTTTTATTTACAATATTGGGTATTGCATCCATTTTCAATATAGTTACTATAAATTCATTCAAAACAACACAGTATAATTGGGGACATATCATATTTCTCAAGCAAAGCAATAATCAGAGGCTTAATATATCTTTTTCTACAATGTCCTATCAAATACAAGTTTAAATACTATGCCCTATTTCTAGGGAAAGGAAAGAGGGGTTCACAGGGTGCCACATCCTTTAATTCTACTGTAGCTTGGTATATGTGCCACTAGGAGCCACACTGGAGGGTTCTGATAGAGAAGATACCATAGCCGTAGCAGGATATTAATGTTTAAGCAGCACACAAACTGGCACCCACATATAGGTCTCTTTGCAAAAGTGGAAATGATCTGAAAAAGGATGGCTAGCAGATTCGATCAATTCATGAAATGAATCCCATGCCTCAGGTAATGAAATTGGAAGAATGGGACCAAGCCCTACTTCCTGTACTCTCCAGGATCATTGCTTTCCTTCCCAATACTTCTTTCTGATATCTCAGATCTGTGGAATGTTTTGCAGAGCACTTCTCTAAATTTCTCAAAGTAAGGTAAGAGCTAGGGTCTGCTTGACCTAGATGGCTTGCTCAGAGGAGATGCTAAAACTGGAATGTTTCTTTGTGGTAGTAAGAAACCAGTTCAATGTGCTTACTGAACAGGAGATAGTAGGTCATATTTGGAGGTATTTAGTATTTAGATTGCTACTTGCAGAGAGTACAATAGCTCATAAAGGCTGCAACCTAACAAAATGAGAAACACATAGGTTTGGGGACATTCATTGCAGGAAGCTACAAATTAAGTAAATGCTAAAAGCCAATGATCCAGCATCTGGCTTTTGTAGACCACCATAGGGCCTTAACAAAACTTATTCATTGGTTCCACCCCTGTTGGACATAGACATATCCTGGTCAGTGGTGGGATTGGGCATGGGCTTGGTGGGCATGGCAGGGGGAAGATACTGTAAAATCTCCAGTCAGAGGTAGTATTTACCAGTTCTCTGAACTACTCAAAATTTCCACTACCGGTTCTCCAGAACTGGTCAGAACCTGCTCTATACCACCTCTGATCCTGGTCCTTTCTTGAAAAGTCGTGTGCCTATGCATGCCCCATTTTCGGCTTCCGCACATCTCATTTTTGGACTTCACGTGTTACATCTTTGGCCCATTCCAGGCAGTGGGGATTGCCGCAACCGCTGCATGTCATCACCAAACAGCGGTGGTGGTGGAGATTGGCAGCAATAGGCAGCAGCAGTGATTTCCACTGCCTGGAATGGGCCAAAAATGGGATGCGCAGAGGCCAAAAATGGGATGCGCGGAGGCCAAAATGGGGTGCGTGGAGGTAGCAATAGGTGGCAATCCCCACACACTGGAACAACTGATCGGTGGTATTTCAGGAGGCTGATCCAACCACCAATCAGCTGCTCGTGCTAAATCAGGCAGTGCTGAAGCTGATCAGGATGTTTGCTGTTTGCTGCAAGAGGCAGACTGCTGGGAGGCACAAGCAGATTTTTTTTTTCTTGTTTTCCTCCCCAAAAGCTAGGTGAGTCTTATGGTCTGGAGTCGTATAGTGCAAAAAATATGTTAAATGTAAAAAAATGGAATTCTGGCTAACTGTTAGACTGGTCACAATTTAAACGTCTAAATAGAAAAATACTTGGCTCCATTTGTTCTGAAAGGTGTAGTTTTATTAGAGATCAAGTGTATTGCAGCATTGAATAGCCAGAACTGAGAAATTGCATGCTAAAACCCCTAAGTTCTATTCCTCCACCCCAACTATTCCCCACTCTCCATCCCATTGAAACCAATCAAGGGCATGCAAGATGTTTTCATAGCAATCAGCCCAAGTGTAGCTTGATATGCAATTCCCTCCTTCTTCCAGCTGGATGACCTTGAGGCTACGTCTCAAGGGGGTACAGTCTT